TAACTTAACAAAAATCTTGGGCATGTTTTTAAATCTGTTGCTAAATGTGGACAATATTTTTTTTCCAGATCCTCTTTCAGTTGTTGTACTGTGGTTGATTGACAAAATTCTTTAGCTCTTTCATGATGAGATTCAAGCTTTGAAACTTCTTCTTTAGCATTTGGTATAAATTGCTGACACATGTTAACTAATAATGCACAGTCAGTACAGTCGAAAAGAGGGCGTATGGCTGTGAGTACATCACCTATAGTAGACACATTGTTTAGTGTAGCAATAGTATCAGCATGATATTTTAAGTCTTCTCTGTATCTTAGCCACGTTGTGATCTTTTTGAGTAATTTAGGATTATCTTGAATTTCATTATCAAAGGCTTCTTCTACGTCCATCATTACCAAAGAGAAATTATCATTCAACTGCTTTAATGAGTCACGAGTTCCTTCTTCATCATGAAGCCTGATATAATCATTCTGATCATCATGTTGAGTTTGGTCCTGATTACCTACATAATGTATCAGCTAATGAGTGTTTTTAAAATGTATCCGTAAATTTTTTTATTCCCTACAAGCATGTTAGTTCTAACAAGAGTAAATAATAGGTATTGTTTACTCTAACAAAAATCAATATCAAAGCAGTTTAGTTTGCAAAGCTTATACACATAGTTAACTACTTATACATAGTTCATCATCCTTACCATAATTAGCTTACCTTGTTGATCTTTCAAGCGCTGTAGGACAAACCTTGCACATGAGACAGCTCCAAACGGTTGCCACTTCTTGTCTTTTTCTTCTGTTCCCCAGTCGACTATAGCTTTTATTACGATCCATTCAAATCCTACACTCTCAGCAGCCTTATGAATACCTTTTGCTTCCATTTCTCCTCCAAGTGCTTTTTGGATATATTTTAGTTTCTCTTCCTTTGCTTCTTTGCTACGAAACAGTGTGAATTCAGAGGCCAGAGAGCCTTGATGATGAACTTTAACTGCTTTACCTTCAATTTTAAAGACTTCGTCGTGTTTGAACTTTTTTAAAAGATTCTTTCCACAATGGTACTCGGTAGCTAAAACAATTGTATTTTTTCCTTCAATACGCTGATGTGCAGTGTCGATAATACTTTTGGCAACAATAATGTCACCTAAATTTGTTTTATCACTGAGTTCCTCAGTTTTGCTCTCCTTTGCTCCATAGCATATCCCAATAGCAATGACAAAATCAGCTTTTACGTCATTTTGTACTGAAACAAGAATATCTTCAGTCTCATCTGGGCCCTGGCCTGTCCTAGTTATTGCTACATTACACGACCCATACTTCCCCAGGATAAAATTCCCAGTTTCATCTGTTGTGATAACTCTAATATATTTACCATCACCTCCAGGAGGATCGATTGAACCCATCACAGCACAGTATTCTATGGTTGTGGCAGTCACCAGAATGTAACGGACCTTTGATATAAACTCTTTCTCTCCTTCGGTCAGCTCTTCAATTGTTTTCATCTCAATTTTTCGCTCAATGTCCTCCAGTTTTGGGCAATATTTGCTGACATCAGGAGGTGGATCTGATTCTATTGTTCATGTTAATTAGAAATTATCAAATTATTCTAACATACTTTGGTCCTCACTTTTACTCTTGTCCTCACCAGTTGCTGCACTATCAATTGGTTCTCTGTAAATACAATAGCAGATTCATTAATTGGAGTCAGTAAAAGACATTTACTTGGGATCAATCTTTTGCTTTTTAGCATTTGCTTGTGCTGTCCCATTGCTTTCTGCCAAGCCTGCCTTGCCTGGTATAGAAATGAATAATGTTTTATTATATAATTTTAATGTGAGAGTTCAAGTTTTGTAACTTACCTATATGTTCCAGAAGGTTAGATTTTGCTTTGCCCAGTTTATCAGGATTGTCATCACACAATTTTATTAATGTATCCCAATTGACATCTCTATCAGCATCAAACCACCTCTGGAATACCAAATGAAGTTTGGTACTTGCTGTTCCTGGCATTTCTATCAAATCAGCTGTCTTCACTTTTAATCCAGCTCCTATTGTCAGGTAATGATCATCAGAAGAATCAAATATCTGTTTGACAGCTGCTAAATCAGGTTTTTTGTCTATTAATAATGAAAATGAATGATTTTATTGTAACAGACGCTCCAACTATCTGTTAACCAAACTTTATTCTTAATCAACACGAAACTCACAACTAACTCACAACTAACAAACAACACACTTATATAGATCTTATAAATGTCCAGAAGGTTCTATAACATACAAGAATACTTTACATGATTGTTCTAGAATATACTTGAATAAACACATAATATATAGTTACAATAGTACACAGAGAGTTCCGGATCCATTCAGAAACAACTTCTTACATTTCCTCCCTTCCCCTCTGGCACGAAGTGCTCTTCCTCTCCAATCTAGAAAGTGCATCTGCATTTGCATTTGCTACCCCTTTCTGATGTTGTATAGTGAAATTATATGGTTGCAGAATCAAACTCCATCTAGTCAATCTTGCATTCTTCTCTTTAAACTTGTGTAGCCATTGAAGAGCTCTATGATCCGTCTGAATAATAAAAGATCTCCCTATGAGATATGCACTGAAATGCTTGATGGCTAGAATAATAGCTAAGCACTCTTTTTCGACTGTCGAGTATGCTTGTTCTCTCGGGAGTAGCTTTTTACTAAAATAAGTAACTGGTCCCTCATCTAAATTCTCCTCTCCTTGACTAAGAATTGCACCAACTCCTACTCCTGATGCATCAGTTTGCAATATAAATGTTTGATTGAAGTTCGGATTTTTCATTAATGGTGCTGTAGTTAATGCTGTTTTTAGCTTCTGAAATGCCAATTCTGCCTTCTCACTCCATATGACCCATTCAGGCAGCTTTTTCCTTGTCA